TCCCAAAGCGTTATGCAGACATGGTGGTGTACACTCTGAGTCCTAGCAGTCGGGAAGCTGGGAGACTGCCACAAGATTCAAGCCAGCCAGAGCAACAGCGTCTTTCTCCAAAATAAATTAATTAAGATACAATTCTGTTTAGTTTGGATTTTTTTTATGTGTATGAATGCTTTGCCTGCCTGCAGGTATGTCTGCTATGCATGTGCTGGTGCCTGCAGAGGTCAGAAGCACCCTCTTCTGAGTCCCTGGAACTCGAGTTATGGGTGGTTCTGAGCCATCATAAACATGCTTGGAATTGAACCCAGAACGTCAGCAAGTGCAACGAGTTCTCTAAACCACTGAGCCATCTCTCCAACCCAAAACAAAATAAAATTCTATACAATTGAGTTTATGAATACACAGTGAATAAATGGTCAACTAGTGGCCACATGATGGTGACATTAAGATCTACACGGGACTAATGAGCCTGACAGAATGAATTTAACCCCCAGGAGCCACATGATGGAAGAAGGGAACTTGCTCCCACCAGACGTCCTCTGATACACACACACACACACACACACACTCACACACACACACTAAATAAATAAATAAATAAATACATACATACATACATAAAAATGAAGATTAAGAGGTAGAGCAGTTCTGTACAGACCATCAGGCATGATGGCACAGACCCTAACTCACAGCACTGGTGAGGCAGAGGCAAGAATAGCTCTGAATCTGAGAACAGCCTGGTCTACTATGCGGAGAGTTCTAGACCAGCCAAAGCAATGCAGTGAAACTGTCTCAAAAACAAAACAAAAACTACCCAGACTACTTAAGCCTTCAGAAGGACCACACTGGATAAACCATCTTGCTTTTCAAAATGTCTTGAGGCTGGGATGTAGCTGAGTTGGTGGAATGCACGCCTAGCATGCATGAAATCCTCAGTTTGATCCCCAGCATTTCATAGCCTGGATGTGGTGGTGGAACACTCAGGTAAAGGCAGGGTGATCAGAAGCTCAAGGTTATCTTCAGCTACATAGTGAGTTCAAGGCCAGCCTGAGACACAAACTGGGTCTCAAGCAAACAAAAGCCACTTATCTATCCTTAGCATCCTCCCTTCCCCATTTCCATTTTTCAAGGGGAGATGGACACATACCTTCATGGCATGAGATGCACAAATATGACCAGTAGACCATCTTTCTAATCTCATTTGACTTTCTGGAACAGGGCCTAGCAGACACAACTGCCCCAGATGCTAGGACTCCCCCCCCCCCACGCGCGCTAACCACCAACCCATCCCAAAGCTTCTGCCTCAGGCCAGTGATACTGAACTGCTTCCAAGCCTTCAGTGAGAACAGAGCCCACACATACCAGTCCCTCTGTGGATGTGCTGGCCTGGCTGGTCACATTGGCCTGGATCAAGGAGGATATTTCTAGAGACAATTCATTGATGCAGGGGAGACCTGCCCTGAATGTGGGAGGCATTATTCCATGGGCCAGGGACACGGAAAGAACGTCTTAGCCTCTATTATGTGAACTGCTCATCTCTGCTCTTCCCCTTCCCTCCACGATGCCCAAACCCTCTGAAAACGTGAGCCAAAACAAATGCTTCCTCCCGTAAGTTACTTCTTTCAGGTATCTGTCCACAATGACTAGAAGGGTTTATTGTAGCAACTTTGACTTCCACTCAGAGGAATGCAGACACTATATGCCCTACTGTGTGTCCTAAGTACCCTCTGAGGCCACCATCCTGGGCAAGCTCAGCTGCCAGTTTTTAATAAATAAGCCCTTTTTATTTTCATTTTTGGTTTTTGAGACAGGGTTTCTCTATGTAGCCCTATAGACCAGTCTGGCCTGGAACTCACCGAGGTCCACCTGCCTCTGCCTCCCAAGTGCTGGGATTAATTAAAGGCATGTGCCACCACTGCCCAGCCTAAATTACTTTTCAGTGAAGAAGTTATTCTTTAGCTAAGTGTTGGTGGTGCACGTCTTTGAGCCCGGCACTTGGGAGGCAGAGGCAGGCAGATTGCTCTGAGTTCGAGGCCAGCTGGTCTACAGAGCGAGTTCCAGCACAGGCTCCAAAGCAATACAGGGAAACCCTGTCTTGAAAGATCAAAATAAATAAATAAATAAATAAATAAATAAATAAATTTAAAAGGTGGGGAGATGCTCAATAGTTAAGAGCATTTGTTCTTGCAAAAACCCCTGTGATTGGTTCCAAGCACCCACACCATGGTGGCTTACAGCCCTCTGTGACTACAATAGTTCCAGGGAATCCACGACCCTGTCCTGGCCTCCATGGGTACTACAGTCACATGGTGCAGAAACACACATGCAGACAAAGACAAAAACTCTTACAAAGAAGTTTATGTTGGGTGGTAGTGGTGCACATCTTTCATCCCAGCATTCAGGAAGCAGAGGCAAGTGGATCTCTGAGTTCGAGGCCAGCCTGGTCTACAGAGTGAGTTCCAGGTCAGCCAGGGCTACACAAAGAGACCCTGTCTTGAAAAACAAACAAACAAAAATGCAGTTAGACTTTTGTGACATCTTATATGAGGCTTTTTTGATCCAGCTTAATGTTTGCAAGGTTTATTCAGTGTGTGAGATATATAAATACACACATATATATGTATATGTATGTATATGTATATATATATCTTCTTTTTTGTTAATATTGCTGTTTTTATTTATTTATTTCTTTATTTGTGCTAGGGATTGAACCCTGGCCCTTGCGTTTGCTGGGCAAGTGCTCTACCACTAAACTACATCTCCTGTCCAACTTCAGTCCCTTTAATTAATTAACTTTTTGTTTGTTTATTGGGCAGTGTGCCCCATTCCACCTGTGTAAAGGTCAAAGGGAAATTTGGGGGGGTCACTTCTCTCCTACCATGTGGGTCTTGGGGTTCAAATTCAGGTTGTTAGGCTAGGACACTCTTTGCTGCCCCTCATTCCTTTTCAGGACCAACTAGCATCTCCTGGTACTGATGGACCACAGTGTATTTGTGCTCTCATCTGTTCATGGACATTTGGATCTGCTTTGGCCAATCAACTGACCCATTTTATAGATGAGGAAACTGGAGCCCCAAGTCACCATAATTTAGATGGGGTCAGAGCTTAGTCCTCTCCTAACTGTGTCATTCTGGAAGAACCTGGGGAACGGAGTCTCACAGTTGGACAATAAGCAGAGCAACATTTGAAACAGCCTCCAAGGGTGTTTTCTTCTGTATGCTGTCCATGCACACCAGGCCACTGTCCGATCCTTAAAGAGAACCCCAGCTCCTGCTCACCGCTCCATCCGTATGTCCAGCTGCTTCTCTGCTACAGTTCCTAACTGCTCACCTTGGTGTTCGTTTTTTGAGAAAAGATCTCTCTACACCTGCTGTCCTGCAACTCACTGTATAAATTAGGCTGGCCTTGAACTCACAGCCCCTGCCTTCTGAGGGCTGGGACTAAAGTATGCGCCATAAACCTGGCACTTTGGTTTTAAGATTTGTTTCTATGTGTATGTTTGCCTGCATGACGGCCTGTGTACCTCTTACATCTGAAGAAGGAAGCCAGAAGAGGGCATCAGATCCTCTGGAACTGGCGTTAAGGGTGGTTATGGGCTGCCATGCGGGTGCTAGGATCCAAACTGCTTCTGCTTTTACTCTAGTGCAATCCACTCTCGAGCTCCGGAATCATAATGATGCTGTCTTCAGACGGTACTCACGGAAGCAGGGATTTGAACCTTCCAGCTAGTAAGCACCCAGTCTTCTCGCCAAGCTATTCTGTGCCCTCCATGGTCACGTGATAATCTCACAATGGCAATGGGTTAATTTCCCTGGAGCCTCTCCCGTGGTCTGGGAGGTTCAGAATATTTTTCTTACACAGACCACAGCCATTAAGCCTTAAACCCCGAGTTCCCTTAAATGACGCGCTCAAGAAGTTAGAAAATTTGGGTTTGGCACCGGAGGAGGAACCCAGGCATCTTGCCTGGTGCAGAGCCGCTCTCCTAAACATCTAAGCCACCATGTGTCACACTGGAAATGGAAGCCTCTCCCGCTTCCCACGTGCCGGGTCCGCCCCATTACTCTTTGATCTTTGCAATGTCTGCGGCCCCATTGACCCTGCTGTGAGTTATGGGGGCCGTGGGACCCGTAACCCGGCATTCTCGGACTCCCGGGGTCGGCAGGACACGGCGCCCCGCGCCGTGATGGATGAACCGCCCCGAGGGCTGGCTTTGTCCGGATTAGGCTGGACTGAGTAGCGCGCAAGGCCGGCTAGGGACGCGAGAGTAGAGAGAAGCTGACTCGAGTGTGCGTGTGTTGAGGGGGTGTCTCTCTCCTTCCCTACAGGGAAAGGGAACATAGGTGTGTCATCCGTACCCAGGTGAGGTCCAATCACTTTGAGGTTCTCATGCACACCCTCTTGGTAAAGGGACTTCTGAGAACCTCCCCCACTCCGCGCACTTTCTCAGGCTACAAAGGCCGCGCCGCTGTCTGTCCCGCCTTCCCTGCCGCGGGTATTTCTTCCGTCCCATTTGACAGCCTAGGCGGAATAATCCTTTTGGGGACCCTGCCGGCTCCGGACCCGTCAGACGTGGCCGCAGCTGAGCGGGAAGCCCAGATCTATTGTTAGGGGGAAGGGGGTCCGCTAGGGAAGCCCCGCCACTGCCCTTTGTCGCCTGCTCTCCCGCGGGGCCGCTCCAGATGCGCCACCGCTGCCCGGCGCCCCACCCGTCCCACGCGCCCCGGGGCAGCGCCGAGGTGGCTCTTACGCACCGGGAGGAGCGGGCCCGCCTCGCCCGGTGCTCACACGGCCGCGGGGCTGCGCCCGCCTTTGTCTGCCTCCTTTGTTTGCCCCGCGCCCTGGCGGCGGCGCCAAGGCCTCGGGGGAGCGAGCGGCGATCGGAGAGCGCAGCTGGCTAGGGCGCGGCGCCCGCAGCGCACCGGGCTTTGCCCGGCCAGGGGCTGGCCCTCGGCTGGGGGTCGCGAAGCCCCGCGGCCCCTCCTACGTCCCCTCCCTGAGCGCCGTCCCCGCCCCTCGCTCACTCCCTCCCTCTCAGCCCCGCGCAGCCTCCCGCCGCCCGAGCACCTCGCGGCTCTATCCCGCTCCGCCCTCGGCTGCGCTCGGCTCCCGCAGGCGCTCGGCCCTGCGCCCTCGGTTCCTTCCCCGCCCGCTGGACAGGTAAGACCCGGCTCGGCCCGCCCCCGGCCCCGCCCTCCGCTCACCTGGTGGATCGCCCTAACCAAGGTCCACTACCTGCTGGAAGGGAGGGAGGATGCTGTCTTCTTCCTTGCTCTCCGACCCAGGTGTCGGTCTGTCCGTCCGTCTCCTGTCTCCACTTTGCGCCTCGTGTCCCCTAGGCTCTCTCAGCTCTGTCCCCGGCAGCCTGGTCCGCCCCCTGGCACCGGACTGGACACTCACTTTTCTGTGCACTGTGGCACTCTGCCTCCAGTGCGACCTTGCCTCCCTCTCGGTGTCCCGCGTCTCTGGAGCGCGGTCCTCCACACTAGTCTTCTCCCTTTGGGACCTGATACCTTTTTGTCTCTTGTTTCTGGGTGGTTTCTCAGTTGGGGGAATTTATCCATCACCGTTAGTAGAAGTCTCCAGAGACTCCCTGAGCCGCGGCAGAGCTGTCCAGGGTGCCTCGGTCCTGCTCGTTGATGCCCTGGAGAATGGGTGTGTTCGGGGAAAGCTAGGCTCACCCAAAGCTGGTGTAGCTTGGCCTCACATTTTCCCACCCTGGTCTGGACTAGAGTTGTTTTACCACCTCGAGGGCACCCCGTGCTCCCTTCTCTGGGCTGGCTTGGTTCCTCTCCTTCCCCACCGCGGGGCTTTTCTCCATCAGTCCTGAGGACTCAGCTGCCTTCTGACACCAAGGCTATGTTTAAGGTGTGCGTGTATCTGGGTTTCCCTGGCAAGTTTTGTTTAGCCGCCTCAGCTGGGTACTCTCTTGGCCTTCACTCTTTCAGGAGGTGGTCCTTGCTGCCGTTGGTTGTCCCTCTAGGGTGCCTATCCCTCAGTCTGGTAGCAGGCAAGGTGTTTCTTGACTGGTCCTGGTTCGTGGCTGCCGCTCTGGGCTTGGGCAGACAGGAGTTCTGGATGTAAGCAGTCTTGGACAAAGGAGTGCATTCTGAGCCTCAGTGTCTTCAGAAAACAGGGACACAGGATTTACGTGTAGAGCTGTGTGTCTGTATCTTAGGTACCTACATGGCGCTGGTGGGGATTCGAGAGGGATCCACAGAGCCTGCCACAAAGTCCAGGCTTAGAGACCTTGCCACCCCCTGAAACCTTATTCTCTGAACTCTCCTTGTCACTCCCATCACACTTCCACACATCCCCTGTCTGCCCATACAGCCAGCCACACTTGCAGAGACCTCTCCCTCTGCATACAAGGTGATGGGGCTGCAGGTATGCTGCCAGCACCTACAGCCCATTAGACATGTCATCGTCCCAGCCCTGGACCCCTGTCTTGCCCCCCAAGCCTTGTTCCATGGCGCCCACTACAAGCTGAGGGGTTTGCCTTGTAAAGGCAGATTGATTAGCCAAGTTCTGAAACTGCTTTTCAACCCCTCAGCCCTCCCCCATTCCTCATCTATGTGGTCCCTGGTCAGAATTGGTGTCGGCTGCCCCCGGAGCTCAACAGTGATCAGCACACTCAGCCACGAGGGCAGTTTCTGGAGATGCAACCTTCTCTCAGTAGGCAGGGTGGAGGCTCCCTGGGTGTTTTTGTTTAAGCTGTAGCCTGCTTTCTTGCACTGAGGCAAGAATGGAAATGGGGGCTTTCACCTGCCCTACCCCACACAGGCTCCTGCTCCTGCCTGGCACATGTGCCCAGCTTTAACAACAATCCGATCTCCCTCCATCTCTGTCTCTGCATCCTCCGGAATCCTACAGGAAGCTAGCTCAGCAGTTCCTGTAACACCCCCCCCCCCCAGGGAGGCGGGTAGCTAACTCAGACCCTTCTTGCCTCACTAAATGAAGATGATGCCACCTCCTCTGCCTTCCTGGCTCCAAATGTGGCCACTAAATTAACTACAGAAACCTCTGTTGGCCCAGCCTCCCCCCACAACCCCATCCGCACCCTAGGTTTCAGCAGCGATGGAAGGCATTAAGTGTCTCTGTCTCCCGACTTCCTCTGACCCTTTGCCAGGATGATTCCTCGGGCTACATTGTCTCTCAGGCCTGTGTTCAGGCCTATCTTTGCAGGCTAAGATCATAGGTCTTCTAGAGGCTCTGTTTGGCTTCTCTGACTCTCATGACCCCAGGACTGGTGGAAAAGTGTCTCCTTTCCCTCCATGGGAGCTGGGTCTCCTTTCAGTGTGGTTCCAGAGCCTGACACCCATGAGGTGTGCTGCACACAGCTACCTGGCATCCTTGGTGAAGAGGGCAGGAATAAATGGAAAAGCTCATGCTGTCGATTCTCCCTGCATTCTGTTGGGTTCTGCTGGCTGGGCTGGGGGCAGAGCCGACTCCAGGTAAGGACTTTGGCTGGAGACAGAGCAAGCTGTGGGGAAATTCCTGTGTTTATGGGACTGTGAAGGGCTCTGGAAGATAAACCTGGCCTCTTTTGTGCCTGGCCACCATATGAAGTCTACTTTTATGTCCCAACTGACCACTTAGCTGCTCTGCCAGCTGGAGTAATGGGAGTGGGGGTGGGTCTATGCACCCAGGCCTCCTTGACCCCTGGGAAGAGCAGAGGCTCCCTTCAGTACTGGCCCTGGGCATGGCCCCTGGCAACAGGTCATTCTAGCATTCCTGTTCAGACCTATTTGTCTAGGATCTGCCTCTGTCTTGTCTGGCCTCCTCCTTTGCTGGTCCCATTCCAATCCTTCCTCTACAGCTGTGGCCAAGGTACAGCTGGCCTTCCCTGACAGGTCCCTGGAGGGTAGCCAAATGCTTGCTGCTAGAGGACAAGCTTTCTGGGTCCAGTTTTGAAAAGCCTTGCTACATCATGGCCTGGCATTCACCATCTGGTACACTTCCTTGCTAGGGTGACCGGTAGAAGGATGGTTGCCCTGTTGGAGCCAGAGCAGGTGGAGTGGATGAGGAGGACCTTTTAGATGCTACCTCTATGCTGGGCGCTGAGTCAGTACCTCGGCACACATCCCTGGACCCTGGTAGTTGCAGCGGCTATAATGGAAATGGTTAAGAATGGAAACTTCAGGGAGCTAGCACAATGGCTCAGCAGTTCAGAGTGTGTGTTGTTCTTGTGGAGGACCCATGTTTGATTATCTGCATCTATGAGCAATTTACAACTGTCAACTCTGATCCCCGAGGATTAGATGCCCTCTTCTGACCTAGCATACACATGGCACCTAGCATACATGTGGCATACAAACATACATGCAAGCAAAACACTAGAACACACACCTACAGAGGAAAACTTTAAAAGCAGAATGGTAGCTTAATGAGTGGCTAGAGTAAAATGAGTCAGGTGACTATGGGTTCAAATCCTGGCTCTACCTCTGCCTCTAACTCGTGGACTGGGCTAGTCCCTCAAATCTTTGTCTTGGCATAACTGTTAGTGGCTATTTTAGTCAGGTGAATGGCTGGTCAATTGGTTAATTGAGACAGGGTCTCACTATGTACCCCTCGGTGGCCTAGAACTCACAGATCCACCTGCCTCTGCCTCCCAAAGGCTGGGAATAAAGGTGTGCACCACCACAGTCAGCAGCTTTTTGTTGTTGTTGTTATAAGATTCGTGTTTGGTTTTGACTATGTGTATTCGTGTGGGTTTGTACATGTGAATGCAGGTGCCTCAAGAGGCCAGAAGCAGCAGATCCCTCTAGAGCTGGAGTTAGCGGTGGTTGTGAGCGGCCCCATGTGGATGCTCAGGTCCTCTGCAAGAAGAGCAAGCATTCAACCTCCGGGCCCTCTCTCTAGCATGTTTCTGCTCTGCTTCATTCAGCCTCTGCCAGAACCCAACATCCAGTGTATTGCCGCTTGGAGAGTAAATGATGTATCTGAGCAGGTAGCAAATCGAGTTCAATAGTCTAGGTACCAAGACAATGAAGTTCTGGAACTTAGGGGTTGAGAGATTAGGACAGGAAAAGTTATTGAGTCCCTGTGATTTGGAAGGGGCTGAGATCCAGCCTGAGAACTGAGTGCAGGAGCAAGAAGCTGAGTGAGGGCTCTGAAAAGGGTGAGCAGGGTGTGTGTGTGTGTGTGTGTGTGTGTGTGTGTGTGTGATGCCTGTGTAGGGTGTGGTATGTGAAGGGTTACGCAGGGGGGTGGTTACTGGCACAACGAACATGACAGGAACTGCCTAGGCTCTGTATCCTTGAGAGAAGCCAAACCTCATTTACCAAGACAATGGCCCCTCCAGGCTAGCCTGGGATGGTCCCAACTTTCCATTGATCACCCTATGAGGACAGACAGTGTGGCTCTCAGGAATCTCTCTCCTCCCAGTCTACCCTGACTTGTTCCCTCTCTTCCTCCAAGGCTCAATCACAGCGGTGATACTACTGTGTTTCTATAAACCTCTGCCTCCTTCGGGCCTCATGGTTCCCTGCATGTTACACGATGAGAAATGGAGGTTTAGAGTGATTAGGAAATTGGTCCAAATTCTTTCACTGTGCTTGGTGAAGCTTGCCCAGAGCTCATTGGGTTTGGTTTGTGTGTGTGTGTGTGTGTGTGTGTGTGTGTGTGTGTGTGTGTGTGTGTGGCTTATTTTTGTCTTTGTTTGAGGCAACATTCCTATCCTAGGCTGACCGCGAGCTTGCTGTGCAGCTGCAAGCAAGGGCTTGGTGAAGCCATGCCAGAGGTGCTCCAAAGGAGATGGAGGAGGCAGGAGGGAGGCAGGAAGTCCAACCCCTGTTAACTCATCCTTCAGAGCTTTGTTGAAGTACAGAAATGCCCCATCAGAAATGGTTCCCACAAGAAACATTCTCTGGCTGGGCCTGATAGCCCAGGTCTTCAATCCTAGCATTCAGGAGGCAGAAGAAGAGCTCTATGGGTTCAAGGTCAGCCTGGTCCACACAGCAAGTTCAAGGCTAGTCAGAGCTAGATACTAAGACCTTGTCTCAAAAACACAAACAAAAACAAAACTAGCAACATCATCTGCCCGACACAGGTGTCTGGAAACAGTCCGGCTGCCAGACACCCTTCAGCAGAAACCAAGGGCAGGCTGAAGAGCAGAGTGGTAGAACATGAAACACCAGGGCCAGCAGCCAGCTGGAGGG